TTGATTAGATGGCTGCTGAGAAAGATTCTGAAGGGCCTTCCGGGCCGGAGATCGGCGGTGGGCCATCTTGCTGGTGGATGACAGGGCCTCTTTATATAAAAGGGTCAGAGATGATATTGAATTAAAAAGCTTCATCGTCTTATAATTTTACGCTGGGCGGAATTTAATCTGCTAACAGACTGTGACACTCACCTCCTCTGGGATCCGACACCGGTGTCTCCTCTCTTGCGACGGCCGTTGCCACTTCTGGGTTTCACCTGGAGCGGCGGCATTTGCACTGGACTGCTCTACCGCCTGGTTCGGCTTTAAATTGCAAAGCAACGCGTGGATTGACGTTAGAACAACATCAATACACCTGGGTGGGGCACCTGCTGCAGTAATCTCACCTGTCCTCCGTGCCTGACTCTAGTCCTCTGTGCTTCCCCAGCTGCCAGTGTTGCTGTACTGCCCTTATGCCCCTCATTGACCCCAGTGCCCATCAGAGCATTAAAGCATCCCGTGTCACCTGTGCCTCCAGTGCCCCCCACAGCATTAAAGCATCCTGTGTCACCTGTGCATCCAGTGCCCCCCACAGCATTAAAGCATCATGTGTCACCTGTGCCTCCAGAGCATAAAAGCATCCCGTGTCACCTGTGCCTCCAGAGCATCAAAGCATCCTGTGTCACCTGTGCTTCCAGTGTCCCCCACAGCATTAAAGGATCCTGTGTCACCTGTCCCTCCAGAGCATAAAAGCATCCTGTGTCACCAGTGCCTCCTGTGTCACCTGTGCCTCCAGTGCCCCCACAGCATTAAAGGATCCTGTGTCACCTGTGCCTCCAGAGCATTAGAGCATCCTGTGTCACCTACTGACCCAATGCTCTTTTTACATCTCGTTACTTCAGAGCACCCAAAAAGCACCCTGTGCACCTCTGTATAATAAAGTATAGGAACGTCACCAGCACCACAGAGACTTCGATGTTAGTGCAAATCCATTCAAACTGATCCTGATGAAGGGGACTCTGCGTGGCCCCGAATGCGCTTAATGACACTTTTGAGTAATGACGAACATCAAATCAATGGATTTGCACTGACATCGAAGTCTCCGTCGTACTGGTGTGCTGGCGACGTTACCATACTTTATATATGCTGAGTGCGGCGCCATCCGCGGTCATTGCAAGCACCCTCATAGATGTTTGGAAGTTCTGGTAAGGAGTGCTGCAGGTCCTTGGACTGCTGTGCACCTCTGTGACACCTGTGTCTCCATGCAGTCTCTGGTATGTTCCACAGTAGTCTGGCCTGCTAGACTCCATCGCCATACCCTCTGTTGCATCTCTACCCCTCAGGTACGCTCCTGCGATCACCCGGTCTGTCCTACCCTCTGTGAATACCGCTGTCAGAGACGTAGATTCACTCAGGTGGAGCTCAGATTGGGATTTTTCCCTCACTTCTCATCTGGAAAATACATAGTCAGCAGGACAGGAAGTTGGGGTATATCCCTCTAATGGAGTCCCAGAGAGCAGTACAAACCTGACAGGGGTTTTTAATCCTTCCCCACTCCATCCCAATCTAGAAAGAATATCTTTTGGCATGAAATACACTTAAAAGGGTAGATGAAGGTAGTCACTCGCACCCCATGATATTAAAGTCAATGCTGTTTATTGACTGAGATAACACACATCTCCTTAGCGACATTTCGAGATCATGCGGCCCCGTCCTCGGGCAAACAGAGAGGGCTCTGTGTTTGCCTCGGAGAGGGCTCTGTGTTTGCCTCGGAGAGGGCTCTGTGTTTGCCTCGGAGAGGGCTCTGTGTTTGCCTCGGAGAGGGCTCTGTGTTTGCCTCGGAGAGGGCTCTGTGTTTGCCTCGGAGAGGGCTCTGTGTTTGCCTCGGAGAGGGCTCTGCTTGCCTCGGAGAGGGCTCTGCTTGCCTCGGAGAGGGCTCTGCTTGCCTCGGAGAGGGCTCTCTGCTTGCCTCGGAGAGGGCTCTGTTTGCCTCGGAGAGGGCTCTCTGTTTGCCTCGGAGAGGGATCTCTGTTTGCCTCGGAGAGGGCTCTCTAAAGCATTGACTTTAATATCATGGGGTGCGAGTGACTACTTTCATCTATCTACATTTCACGGAGGCATCCGTTGTCACCACCGCACCCACCCAGTTGGATTTGGGTTTTTGTCCGGCCAGGAGTGCGATGGGACAGGAGGATGAAGATACACTTAAAAGGGGATGCCGCGGATACCTGAAGACTCTCACAATCTGGTAATATATTCAACCAATACAACATAAAAGGGTGATAGAAGGCATTACATGGCGCGCTCTATGCCAATCCTGTATGAAGAATCCTCTAAGCACCCACAAAGGATCCGAACTCAAACTGTGCGTAATATGCAATTGTCATTACAGCTCAGGTACTGCCTCCTCTGCATCCCATAATGCAACACCCACCACCAAACAGGTAATTAGGTGCCTGCAGTGCAGAACATAGTCTTGAAGCCAATGTGACCTCTGTATCCTGTGCATGCCCCAGGTTAAGGGGCCGTCACCTTAGCAGAGAGAAGAGGGATTCTGAAGAGACAGCAGGGTGTGCCTTCTGTCACAACATAACAGCAGCTTGTGCTCTATGAGTTATTGACAGGTTCTCTTTAAAACTTTGCCCCCCCCCCAAAAAAAGCTGCCCATAAAAAGACAGCAACAATAATCATTTGTTACATTGCCTGTTACTCAGATCTTCTCTCGCAGAGCTATGGCCTCCAGCAGGATCCTCACATCTGACACGTTCCTGCTGCACAAGCAGCGGGGGACGCACATAACTGACGCCCCCGGAACTTTCACAAGAGAAGATTCTGCTGGAGGCCGGAACTCATTGATGCTCTTCTTTTATGGGCAGCTTTTTGGCCAACGTTTTTTTTTTTGGGAAGAACCTGGGTCTCTAGAAACAAAGAAACATAGAAGCGTTATCAAGTGACGACCATAGCAAAGGACCAAGTGGTCCATTACCTTATTTTTAAGCTTTTTATCAGAGTCCGAGGTCATGTCCCCGTGTTCTTGATCTCAGCTTCATACTGAAAATTCTGCCCTCCTGAACCTTATTCACCCCATTCATGTACATAAAGGTTTTAGCCATGTTCCCCCCTTTCCATCTGTCCTCCAGACTGTACAGATTAAGTTCCTGCAGTCTCTACTGCCTCTGACCTTTCTCCATCTTTCTTGCCCGTCGTTCTATCTTATCAATATCTTTCTGGATGCAAGATCTCCGGAACTGGATACAGCATTCTTAATGAGGTCTAACTAGAGATCTATATAGAGGGATCAGGACCTCCTTCCTCCTGCTGGGGATCCCTCTAGTGATAATAAAGATCTATATAGAGGGATCAGGACCTCCTTCCTCCTGCTGGGGATCCCTCTAGTGATAATAAAGATCTATATAGAGGGATCAGGACCTCCTTCCTCCTGCTGGGGAACCCTCTAGTGATAATAAAGATCTATATAGAGGGATCAGGACCTCCTTCCTCCTGCTGGGGATCCCTCTAGTGATAATAAATATCTATATAGAGGGATCAGGACCTCCTTCCTCCTGCTGGGGACCCCTCTAGTGATAGATCTATATAGAGGGATCAGGACCTCCTTCCTCCTGCTGGGGATCCCTCTAGTGATAATAAAGATCTATAGAGAGGAATCAGGACCTCCTTCCCCCTGCTGGGGACCCCTCTAGTGATAGATCTATATAGAGGGATCAGGACCTCCTTCCTCCTGCTGGGGATCCCTCTAGTGATAATAAAGATCTATATAGAGGGATCAGGACCTCCTTCCTCCTGCTGGGGACCCCTCTAGTGATAGATCTATATAGAGGGATCAGGACCTCCTTCCTCCTGCTGGGGACCCCTCTAGTGATAATAAAGATCTATATAGAGGGATCAGGACCTCCTTCCTCCTGCTGGGGACCCCTCTAGTGATAGATCTATATAGAGGGATCAGGACCTCCTTCCTCCTGCTGGGGATCCCTCTAGTGATAATAAATATCTATATAGAGGGATCAGGACCTCCTTCCTCCTGCTGGGGACCCCTCTAGTGATAGATCTATATAGAGGGATCAGGACCTCCTTCCTCCTGCTGGGGATCCCTCTAGTGATAATAAAGATCTATAGAGAGGAATCAGGACCTCCTTCCCCCTGCTGGGGACCCCTCTAGTGATAGATCTATATAGAGGGATCAGGACCTCCTTCCTCCTGCTGGGGATGCCTTTCGTGATAATAAAGATCTATATAGAGGGAAGAGGTCCGCATCCCTCCTGCTCGGGACCCCTCTAGTGATAATAAAGATCTATATAGAGGGATCAGGACCTCCTTCCTCCTGCTGGGGATCCCTCTAGTGATAATAAAGATCTATATAGAGGGATCAGGACCTCCTTCCTTCTGCTGGGGATCCCTCTAGTGATGCAACTCACAAGTCTATCTGCTTTCCCCACTGCCAGGCTGTTTACTCATTTTGCAATCATCTGAAATAAGAACCCCCACATTTTTTCTCCTCTGCAGTTCTGGCCGACACTGTATCCCCCAATATTGTTCACTATCAGAGTCATCTTTTTCCTAAGTGCATTATTTTTCATTTACAAACATTGAACTGCAGTTTCCACGACACTGACTAATCCTTCAGCAATACCAAATCATGTTCCACGTTACAAATATCATCTCTATTGTCCACCGTTGTGTCATCAGCAAAGAGACATAACCAATATCCCCGATGCCACCACAACCCGGCGTCTCACCTTCTTCCCCATCCAGTATAAATAACTTCTGTAACACTGGCTCCAGGTCTTCTCTGGCTGTGGCCTTCAACGAGGAACATGAAAGATGGACCAGATCTGCAATCACAGGATTACATCAAGTCAGAGATAAAAGCTGGAGGAAAACAATTTGCTCAATGAGGCAGCTTGAAGTGTAGAGATAGTGTGCAAAGGGCAAGAGGAGAGAAACCAATCAGAATTCAGCTCAATGGAGTGAGATTAGTGAAAGAGGCCATAAGCATGATGGCGACTGTAGGCCATACAATGTTACAACAGTTGGTTTTCTTTAGAAAGCAACCACAGCCTGAGTAGAAAATCCTGTCCCCTGCCAGCATGCTGCAGAGAAGGGCCCTTGCTCTCTGCAGGAAAGCAGTGGTCTCATTGCAGAGGTCTGGCATGTCCCCTGCTGAGTAAAAGCTGGAGCTCTCCAATCAGTGGAGAGCATGAGATTTGGACAGCTTTAGCTCTGATATCAGAGAGACCCCTGCTTCACTATAAAGAGCAATGATCCAACTCGGCAGCATGCTGGCAAGGGACAGGCCTTTCTACACAGGCTTTAGAAAGAAAACCAACTGTAAGACACTCAATAACTTTTGTTTTCATGCACTTGGAATGTTTTTAGCTGATTTAAACTGAAAGTTCAATTGAGCTGTAAAAACAAAAGTAATATAAAAATCCTAAAAATGGCCCCCCGATGCTGTACACAGCATGTTTCTAGGTCGTTGGGAGAGACCAAGTAACCTGGATGAAGTCCACTCAGACATAAAGGGGGCTGTGAACACATAGACACATGGTGGGAATTAAACCCAGAACTCCAAAGTGCTGAACATTAACCCCTGTGCTACCCGGCACAGAGATGCCAATACTAACACATGACTGAAAATAAAGTATTTGTACATCATATTTGTTACTCTACTTGCTGAAGGTTACAGATTCAGAATTATCTTTTATTATCTTCACCTTACGTTGGAATAAAATTCTATCTGGACTATTAATGTGTGGCGTGACGCTTCAGTTTTACATTAGTTGTTTTGGACTAAAAACCCTGGAAAGTGTGGAAATCCTCTGATGTGTAGAAACTTCCAGCCAAGTAACCAGACAACCTGCACTGACACCATTGTAATACCACTGGAGAGTAATAACCATAAGACAGCTCTAGGGCCCAGCATTACCTATCCACTTTCCATATACCAATAGGACATCTCTAGGGTCCAGTGCTACCTGTCCACTTTCCATATACCAATAGGACATCTATAGGGTCCAGTGCTACCTATCCACTTTCCATATACCAATAGGACAACCCTAGGGTCCAGTGCTACCTGTCCACTTTCCATATACCAATAGGACAACCCTAGGGTCCAGCACTACCTATCCACTTTCCATATACCAACAGGACAACCCTACGGTCCAGTGATACCTACCCACTCTCCATATACCAATAGGACAACCCTAGGGTCCAGTGCTACCTATCCACTTTCCATATACCAACAGGACAACCCTGGGGTCCAGCACTACCTATCCACTTTCCAAATAACCAATAGGACAACCCTAGGGTCCAGTGCTACCTATCCACTTTCAAAATACCAATAAGACAACCCTACGGTCCAGTGCTACCTATCCACTTTCCATATACCAATAGGACAACCCTAGGGTCCAGGGCTACCTATCCACCTTCCATATACCAATAGGACAACCTTAGGGTCCAGTGCTACCTATCCACTTTCCATATACCAATAGGACAACCATGCACTACCTATCCACTTTCCATATACCAATAGGACAACCCTAGGCCCCAGTGCTACCTATCCACTTTCAAAATACCAATAAGACAACCTTAGGGTTCAGAGCTATCGACATTCCATATACAAATAGAATAGGCTTAGGGACCAGAACTACCTATCCACTTTCCATAAAATAAATGGACAACCTTAGGGTCTAGGGTTAACTGTTGACTTTCCATATACAAATAGGACAACTCTAGGGTCCAGTTTAAACACCCAATAATAGTTCACCTTTAGCCAGTAGAAGCTGCAGAACTACAAGGTCACACCATGCATACTAGACTCCTATAGCTCAGCATCCCCGTGCAACCTTTTCCACAGAGATGCCGATAATATCAGAGGAGACGGCACCCAGACACATCAAAATCAGGTACAAAAGCCGTAAACAATTTTAATCTAATCAGGTGACACTTTTTGGGTCCCTTTCCCCGTATAATCCTTTAGTATGTTTCCTCATTAAGAGACGTAAAAAGCAACAATGAGGATAAGAGAAAATAACAAAGCGGCAGCCCGCCCCAACACAAATAATTAATAGAAGAGACCGTCAACAAATATAAACATCGTCTGACTTCTACAAAAGGGACCCGTCAGAATGGCCAATGGCAATCAAAGGACGCGGCGCGTCTCTAAAGACGTCGCTGTACAACTTTCATAAACTTTTAATGAACTGGATTTTTTCCTTTATCGCGGCAGATCAAAGACCTAACAAGGTACAATCTCCTTTTCATGTTTAATAATAATTAGTCTCTTCTGGTTTGGTGCCGTAATACGAGCGCTCTTAAAAAACACACTGAGCCCTGTGTATTCCGAATGTTGACAATTATCCCGTCCAGTGACACACGGAGAGGGCCAGAGCCGCGTCCCACCAGATCAGACGCTGTAACGGAGTCCAAAAACAGGGAAATATATACCGAAAAATCTGCCTCCCCTCCCGGGGGTAAAATATGAACATCTGAGAGTCCAAATTTATACCTTTCCCCTGGTGGCCTGCGAGCTGTTCGGTTCTACCCCCTCTCCACCCCCTATAGACCAGAGCAACGCTCACATTTCTGCTGTTTAATCGGCAATAACTTTGTCATTACATAAAATAACCAATTAATATATAAATATATTTTTTGGGGGGACAAACAATACTTTCTTTCGGTGGTAATCATGCAAAAAATTTTTTTTAAAGCAATCTATAAAACAGACAAAACTGAGAAAAAAAAACAAAAAAAACCCCCATTTTATTCTATATGTCTATGAAGGTTCCTCATTCATCCAAGTCACATGGTATTTTTTTTATTTCTTTTTTTCCCAACTATTAATTTTGTAACTTTCTTTGTTTTTATTCATTTTGTTGATTTGATTTTATCATCGTCTCATTGAAAGAAGTGCAGCACTGAAAGAAAACAAAATAGCCTATTGTAAATAACATTGCCGTGTTTTGTACCAGGACCAGAATTTTTGTATAATTTTAAACGGGACAAATTATAGAACAAAATATCTGAAAAAAATAAGTCAAGGCGACTGGACTCTGCTGTATTTTTCTTGAAGACGTTTCACTGGACATCCGACCAACTTTCTCAATTCAGAATGACTTGTAACAAAAATTCTCTCAGTATAAATATGGTGAATGTCGCTCCGATCCACATAATCTGTTAATCATAAACAGCTGTTGATTGTATTTGCATAATTGAAGCTAGCAGGTGGCAATAACCTGCCCAGAGAGAGGTGTTTATACAGCATTGTCTGTGGCAGACAATAGATGTCTCCCCCCCTCTATTCAAGCTTGGCATCTCCATTGTTACATAAATGGACTCTTTCACACCTCTTTTAAACCAGTCCTCCTCCCTGTCTAGGATGCGTACTTGACTGTCATCAGAGGAGTGACCTTCTTCCTTTAGATGTGGGTACACTGCTGAATCCTGACCAGAGGGTTTGGCTCTTCCATGCCGTGCCATACGCTGGTGTAGCTGCTGTTTTGTTTCACAACAGCAACTACCTCTGGGCAGGTTAATAACACCTCTTAGCTCCAATTATGGAAATACAATCAACACCTGGTTGTGACTAACAGCTTGCGTGGATTGGAGCGACATTCACCCTATTTATACTGAGATAATTTTTGTACAAGTCATTCTGAAATGAGAAAGCTGGTCAGATGTCCAGTGAAACGTCTTCAAGAAAAATACAGCGAGTCCAGTTGCCTTGACTTACTTTTTACAGATATTTTGTTCTATAATTTGTCCCGTTTAAAATGACACAAAAATTGTGGTCCTGGTCCTGTTATTTACAAATGAAATATACGCTATTTTGTTTTCTTTCAGTGCTGCACTTCTTTCAATGAGACGATGATAAAATCAATCAACAAAATGAATAAAAACAAAGAAAGTTAAAAAATTAATGGTTGGAAAATAATAAATAAAAATAAACAGCAGGAATATAATAGCTAAGCGGAGAAAAGGAAGAAGGAGTTACTTAGGGCTGATTAGGGTTAATAAGTGGTAAATAGGAACAAATTTTATTTTAAAAATATATTTGTTTTTCTTGTCTGGTTGCTTTAGCGAGGCCGTGCGGCTGCCACATATTTTGCAAAAGTTGCGCAACTAAAACCTCTGTTTTTAACCTTAACAGAGTAATTTGTTTTGTTTTCTTTATTGCAGGCTGGCTGGTAAGTGTTCTGGGAAATGTTTGCTTTGTATTGTGTAAAGCCCTTCTGTGTGCACCTTGCTTTAAAGCTGGTTATGAATTGATGAGTGCGTTTGCTATTCGTTTTGTTTGTTGGTTTCTATAACTGACATCAAATGGAGATGGAAGCTCGTTCCTTTGATCTGTACATGAATAAAACAGAGTAGATACAAAAGTAACAGTCACTTTGTATCTCTCTATCTCCCTCTGACCAATGTTTATATACAATGTTACTTTGTATCTCTCTATCTCCCTCTGATCAATGTTTATAAACAATATTACTTTGTATCTCTTTATCTCCCCTCTGATCAAAGTTTATAAACAATGTTACTTTGTATCTCCCTCTGATCAATGCCTCAGTCCATTTTTGTTAAAGGAGAACTATGGGGTCAGTGTTTTCCCCCATAGTTCTCCTTGGGGTAACGGGAGGACACAAACTAGCGTCCTCCCGTCACCCTAAGCTCAGTATACAGCGAGCTACAGCTCCCTATATACTGAGACGCCGCACCTGGAGCGGATCCCGACTTAGATGACGGGATCCGCACAGCTGCGTGAGTGACAGCTGGCTCTGCCTATCTAGAGGCAGAGCCAGCTGTACCCGCCCCCTCCCCCGTCCGTTCCTCCAGTCAG